CATCCATCTCTCCCTCCATCCGTCCATCCATCCATCTCTCCCTCCACCCCTCCATCCCCGTATCCCTCCATCCCACCCACCCATGGCTCCCTCTCCCCCATCCCTGCCGTGTCCCACCTTCCTCGCAGTTGGCTCCGGCGTGGCCGGGGCAGCACCTCCACTCCAGGGCCGTCAGTGTCCTGTAGGTCACCCTGTAGAGGGGCCGCACCACGGCGCGGTAGCTGCGGCACAGAGGGCACCTCAGACCCATCCCGGGGACATCCCAGTGTCCCCAACCCACGGGACCCCGGTGCCCCCTCACCTGCCCCCGCTGCAGGCCAGGGGCCAGCGGCAGCCCTGGAAGACCCTCTGGAGGAAGGTGCCGTTGTGGACGTGGCAGGACACCGTCCGTGTCACCGTGTAGGAGCACCAGTTGCTGCGAAGGGAAACCACCCGTGTCCCCACGGGGGACACCGCGGGGCTGGCAGTGCCACCGCGAGGGTCCTGCCACCCAAACTGCCCCGGGAGGTGCCCGTGGGGAGCTTTGCCCTGGCACGTGGGGGGGGAGCTGGGGCCGCACATTCCTGCTGCATTCCCAACCCCGCGCTGGCGCCGGCCGGCCTGGAGCGGGGCCCGGGCCCCCCCCGCGCCCCCAGCCCACCCCACACAAAGGCTCCTTTCTTCTGCCCCACATGCCAGGCTCTGCCCACCCCCGCCGCGGGCACCCCCAGCCTCAGTTTCCCCCTGCAGAGAGGGGGGGACACACACACCGGTGCCACCGCGCCGAGTGACCCCGTCCCCGCGCGGCGGGAAGGACTCGCCGTTCCCTCGGCAGCTCCGAACTCAAAAGGCTGCACAATTTGGGTCAAAAAAAAGGAGCTTTTCGGGACCGGCCGCCGCAGCGCCGCGAGGAGGGAGGCGGTGGCAGCGGGGACGAGCGGGCGCCGCGGGGGGACAATTGTCTGGGAGGTGCCGGGGGCGGGGGGACAGCGCGGTGGCACTGGGCTTTCCGGCCGGGCAGCGGCCCAGGCGGGCACCGTGCCAGGGCTATGGAAGCGCGGATCCCGCCGGAGCTGTCGCCACGCTCCCGCTGTCGCCCCCCTCCCCCCCGTGTCGGGGGGGGTCCGGGGTGGCATCGTCCCCCTTTGGAGGGCACCCAGCTCCCTCCCGGGCGGCGCAGGGCGGGATATGCTGTGCCAGCTCCAGCTGCGGTGATGCCCGCCGGGGTGGGGATGGGTCCCGGCTCGCTTCCCAGCGGGAATGCCCTCCCGGGAGCGGGGCAGGAGCTGGCAGGCGCCGGCATGTGAGCGCCGGCGTGGCCTGGCGTGACCCCGGCCCACCCACCGGGCCGCCACTCATGCACTGAGCGTGTCCGGGCTCTGCCGCGGGGCATGTGCCCACCCGGGGCAAAGCCCACGCCAGGCTTGGCTCCCAGTCCCGCTCCCATTCCCCAAACCAGCTGCTTGGCTTTGTGCCCCCGGCTCGGGATGGCAGCGATGCGCCGGGGTGGGATGGGCTGGGACGGGGCGGGATGGGCTGGGGGTTCGTGAGCCCTCGGTGCCAACAGCAGGGTGGGGCGTGGTGGGCTGGGGGGGTCCCGGGGGGACAGGGCAGGGTGATGCCAAGGCGCCGGGGGCTTCCTGGGCTTGGCCGGGAGGGGAAGGGGAAATGAGGCGGCTGCTGCCCGTCGCCCTCCCCGAGCCGAGCGGAACCGGGAGGTCCCGGCAATCCGGTGCCGGAGACACGGCCAGAGCCAAAGGCTTCCTGTAAACAACCCCCCCGCCGCCCCCCCCGGTCGCTGGGACGGGCACCACAGCCCCCCACAGTCCCCCCACAGCCCCCCACAATCCCCACAAACCCCCACAGCCCCACACAGCACCCCAGAGCCCCACACATCCTCCCACAGCCCCCACAGCCCGACACAGACCCCTATAGTCACCACATCCTCCCCACAGCCCCCACGGCCCCCCAGGGACAGGCAGGACCCCAGGGCAGGGGACCTTCACTCCACACCAGCCCCAGCAGCCCCAGTAGCCCCAGTGTGCCCAGTAGTCCCAGCAGCCCCAGTATCTCCAGTATGCCCAGGCAGCCCCAGCAGTCCCAGTATGCCCAGGCAACCCCAGTAGCCCCAGCAGATCCAGTAGCCCCAGTAGTCCCAGTATGCCTAGGCAGCCCCAGCAGCTCCAGTATGCCCGGCAGTCCCAGTGTGCCCAGGCAGTCCCCAGTAACTCCAGCAGACCCAGTAGCGCCAGTGTGCCCAGGAGTCCCAGTAGCCCCAGCATACCCTGGCAACGCCAGTAGCCCCAGCAAACCCGGTATGCCCAGGCAGCCCCAGCAGTCCCAGTATCCCCAGTATGCCCAGGCAGCCCCAGCAGTCCCAGTATCCCCAGTATGCCCAGGCAGCCCCAGCAGTCCCAGTATCCCCAGTATGCCCAGCAGCCCCAGCAGCCCTGTTAGTCCCAGTAGCCCCAGCAGCCCCAGTAGCCCCAGTAAGCCCAGGCAACCCCAGTAGCCCCAGCACCTTGCTAACCCTGGTAGCTCTGATAACCCCAGACCAGTAGGTGCTGTTAGCCCCAGTAAGCCCCAGTAAGCCCCAGTAAGTCTTGCCAGGCACAGTAACCCCCAGCCTTGGCACAGTGATCCCCAGCCCCAGCACAGTAACTCTCATCCCCAGCACATCCCACCAGCCCCAGTAACCCTCCAGGAAGCCCCAGTAAGTCCTGCTGGACCCAGTAACCCCCAGTACCCCCAGTAAGTCCAGCTAGCTCCCCCAGCAGTCCCCAGTACCCCCAGCCTTCCCAGTCCCAGTAGCCCCAGCTCGGCCCACAGAGCCCCCCTGGAGCCCCCAGCAGCCAATACCCCCCGGTCCACGATGCCCCCCACGCCTGGTACGCAGAGCCCCCCAGTACCCACAGACCCTGCTGCCTGATGCCCCTTGTACCCGATGCCCCCATACCTGATACCCGGACTCCTGGTACCCACAGACCACCGGAGCCCCCCCAGTGCCTGATGCCCTTGATGCCCAGACCTCCCTGGTGCCCCCCCGAGCTCCCCAGTGCCTGATGCCCCCCGTGCCCAGGACTTGGAGCCCCTGTTACTCGGTACCCCCGGTCCTCAGAGCCCCCGGTGCCTGACGCCCCCCGGTCCTCAGAGCCCCCGGTGCCCGACGCCCCCGAACGCGGTGCCCCCCGTGCCCGGTGCCCGCACCCCCGTGCCCCCGGTGCCGGTACCTGCGGGAGGCGGGCGGCAGCAGGGCCGGGCTCCAGGCGGCCGCGGGCAGCGGCAGCAGCAGGCAGAGGCACAGGCAGAGCCCCAGCGGTGCGGGCAGCGGTGCGGGCAGGGGCGGGCAGGACCCCCGGCCCCCGGCCATGCCGCTCCGCGGGGCTCGGCGGGCACCGGCACCGGCACCGAGCGGGCGGCGGGGGAGGGGAGGAGGAAGGAGGAGGGAGGGAGGAGGAGGAGGAGGAGGGATGGAGGAGGGACCCCCCGCCTGCTCCCCCTCCTTCCGCCCCGCCGGCACGGGGGTCCCGCTGGCGGGACGGACACCGGGGGCGGGGGAAATTTGGGGGGCTGGGGGGACGCACTGACCCGGGGGGGCAGGATCGGGGGCAGAGGGGAGGTCGGGGGCCTGGGGGGCAGGATCGGGCGGTCGGGGGGAGGTCGAGGGTCGGAGGGACATGATCGGGGGCAGAGGGGAGGTCGGGGGCCTGGGGGGCAGGATCGGGCGGTCGGGGGGAGGTCGAGGGTCGGAGGGACATGATCGGGGGCAGAGAGGAGTTTGGGGGCCGGGAGAGGATCAGCGCGGGGAGGGCACACGATGTGGGGACGGTCCCGGCTGCCCGTGGGAGAGACTGGGGAGGGGTGTGAGCCCCCCCGCGT